TCGATGGCAAATAACAACAACAACAACATGATCTAATAATTTTTAAGTAACTTGTTATCCAGTTTCCATGTAGTTAGTATTTTTCCCTTGTGCTTTCTGTTATTCATTTCTAGTTTTACAGTGTTGTGGTCAGAGAAGATGCTTTGTATTATTTCAATATTTATGAATTTCCTGAGGTTTCCTTTGTGGCCTACAATATGGTCTACTCTGGAAAATGATCCATATGCATTGGAGAAGATTGTGCACTATGTTGCTCTTGGGTGGTGTATTGTGTATAAGTATGTAAGGTCCAGTTGGTTGATTGTTGTTTGATTGTGTTGATTGTTTGATTTAGATCTTCTGGGTTTATTGATTTTCTTAAAATTATTTTTTAAAAAGATCCTTATTGAGAAACAATTCATATAATATATAATTCACATATTTATAGTATATAACTCAATGATTTTGTATATTCACGGATTTTTGTGACCATAACCACAATCTGCAGCAAAAGCATTTTCATCATTCCAAAAAAGTCAAATTATGACTCACAGCAATCCAATGGCGCAGAGTAGAACCACCCTATAGGTTTCCAAAGTTTTAAATTTTTATAGACACAGACTGTCACATCTTTCTCTGTGAAGCATTTTATGGGTTTGAATGGACAGCCTTTCAGTTGAGTGCTTAACATTGCACCACCAAGGCTCCTCTAAAAAAAAAGCCAATACACATTAACAGCCACTCCTCATTCCTACCCCCCAGTAGTAGGAAACTACTAATCTTCTTTCTCTATATATAGATATATCTATTTTGGCTTTTCTTTTGTAAATGGGATCATACAATAAAAATGGTATGTTGTGACTAGCCTCTTTCACTTAGTGGGTTCATGTATGTTGTACCCCTGGTGGTGTAGTGTCTGAGGCATTTATCTGCTAACCAGAAGGCTGGTGGTTCAAACCCACCAACCACTTCTTGGAAGAAAGGTTGGGCAATCTACTTCCACAGTGATACTGCCTCGGAAACCCAAGGAGGGGTCACTCTGAGTCAAAAATGACTTGATGGCAGTGAGTTTGGGTTTTGGTATGTTGTAGCATCTTTCAGTATTTCATTCTTTTCATGGGTGAATAATAATCTATTGTATGGATAAACATATTTCATTTAGTCATTCATTTGTTGATTGAGATTTGGGTTATGTCTACTGTTTTTGTTATTATGAATAATGCTGCTATGAACAATCATGTACAAGTTTTT